GACAGCAGAGAAGGCACTGTGGCAGCACTGAAGGCTAGATTTTTAGTTGAATCTGAATTTTACCATATCAATTTTCTGTGTTAATTACTATTAACATAAGCATTAATGTTCGGGAGATCACCTCTCTTCTATAGGTTGACACTTTTCAGACTAGAAAAGCTATAATCACAAATGGATTTGTGCACCGAGTAATTACGAAAGCATATTTCTGTCACACTATGTAGACTCAACTGACCCTCAGGTAGAAAAAGGCACATGGGGTCTGGACGGTATTGTGCTATTAGCCAACCTCCTTCTTCACACAAAGGAAACAATGCAGGAAAGATAATTAGGAAGTACTCAACATGGATGGTATAAATGAGTTTTGTTTACTCTCGTGGTTGAAAGCATGGTGCATGTAAGGACAGTGACAAATTAACAGAAATAATGTGTCTATTATAATGGACTATGTATACACTACTTCTGTTGTTTTTTTAGCAGGACATTGTTCTTATACGAGCCATGCTGTGGCATTAAAAAAGAGTACAGCTTTTTGTATGTTATTCAGTGTGAATGCCTTTCATATGTTATTACATATGTTAGATGTGCCTGTAAACATAAATAACCATCACAAAGACAGTGCCACAATAGAGTCCGATTTCTGTAATGGTTGGAATATCAGACAAAGACAAGGGATACTCAGCTTCATGTCCCTGGGCCACCTTTCAACAGCCTAACTATATGGTGAAGATTAAATATGTGGTAGAAGGTCATGTACATTGGCTTACATTCTTTCAAAATGAAAGTAGGAAATAAAAGTAAGATAAATATGATTAATAAATAAAACATTTCCAAAAGAACTAGAATAATAATTTGTTTAAAATTGTGATGGTTTCATGGTTGGTTTTAATGTAAATGTTTATTTTATGTTATTTCTTGCATTGAATTGTAGCCTAAGTTGTAAGGCCACTCCGAGTTCCTTTCGGGGTTTAGAAGGGTGAGATATAAATGATGAAAATAATTTAAAAAATAAAATAATACTTGTTCACAATCTAAAGGCTCACTAGATATCCACCCAGTTTTGTGTGGTTTGAGCTTTGAACTGGGACACTAGGGTTTGAAATCCCACTTATCCTTGGAAACTCACAAGCAAATTTATTGGTTCAGTGTAAGAGGAAAGCCTCCACTGAACAAATTGCTTCGAAGAAAACTCTTATGACATAGTCATCATAAGCCAACTTGAAGGCCCATAAAAACAAAACTGCAAGATCTAATGGTAATTTGTGGTGAAGTATAAGTTATCCTATACTAGTATTATTAAAAACAACAACATGGCTACTGTTCTCATAGCATGATAGTTTTCAAAGGGTAAAATAACTTTAGAAATAGCAATGAATAATGGCAATTTTCTATTTTCATTTTTTAAAAAATTGTTTTGCAATTAGGGCTTTGGGCTGTTGAAAAAGTGTAAGTCAAACAGAATTTCAATATGTATAGCCAATCTAGCATGGAGTTGCAATGATATGGAAAGCTTAACCTGTTGGACTTCTGTTTAGCCTGCAGATGTCATAGGCTGGGACAGATGATATTTGTCTGGATGAAGACGAAGCATTTCACAGCTCACTACAGTACAGCTTGTGCATGCCAGCACTGTCCTTTCCAAACTTTACCAGTTCCTTTGCTCAGTATCCGTTTATTCCCGTCGCTCCTCCATTCTTTCCATTAAAGCAGAATCATGCTGGTCAAGGCAAAATCCTGGGTGTAATAAGTCCAGTAAAATCCAACCCAATTGATTTCAGTGAAAGGGTTAAATATGTTTGATAGGCTTTATAGTTCTCTTTCTTCGAATCACATCAGTAACACTAACTTAAAATACTAAATGTTAGTGTTGACAAGAGGGCATGGGATGGAAGTTTTAGCTGCTGCAGTATTTCCCCCAACACCCTTGTACATTTAAAAGTACATTTTCTAATCAACTAACGTATAAATTATAAGCTTTTGAATATTTGCAATACGTTTCTGTAACCAAGTGTTTAAAATGGGAAAAATGTACATGCCACACATGTAACTCTATCTTCTAATTATTTATCCAAATGTCAGTTTGTGCTGATTGTTTCAGCTGATTTACTTTTTGACAGGGGCTATTTGTATAAGGAGCCAACAAGAAATATGAGAAGAAAAGGCAACCCCTTAGGGAGCATCTGAGAAATTCTTTTGCAGCTAAATTGACTGAATAGGCAATTGTGCCAGCGAGGAACTAGTTATAAGAATTACTTGCAAATCCAGAAGACTTTTTCTTGGCACAAAGATAGCTTTGCACTTCTGAATAGTTCTTTTTGCGTTATCCTGAAGGGCCCCCATATTGCCATTTCCATAGCTATCACACTCTTGTCAAATGTGATTTTTGAAGAAGGAAAGATGTAGGAATCATGATACCCCATTTTTCCTGACAGCAAGTTTGTGACTTTCATAATCTTACCTGCCAAAGATGATCTGATACTAAGCCAACTTAAGCTGTGCTGAATCCAAACTCTTCCCAACTTCGATATATTAGAAATTGTTTAAGACTACCTTATCCTAAAGTTGTGATAGCATGTAGTGGCTGTACTCAAGAACAAAGGGTGGAGGGTTGGAATCATCCATAATTTGGCTCCTGCCTCTGCAGTTGCTTCTCTGACCCTTTTTTTGGCTCTTCTCCTACTTGATCTCAAGTAGCAGCCACCTGTGCTAGCAGAGTCCTGTGCTTTGAGATGAACAGCTGGCATGAGGGCACCTCAGCTGGCAGAAGGCTTGGCTTGAGGCATTTCCTTGTTCTTGATCCGCTACACCCGCCACATTTTTGAGTTAGGATTGGACTGTCAATCCAAGAAGGAATTCACCCAGGTGAGCTGCATGCTATTGCTATATTTCCATGCACAGGAAATCTAGGTTTTAAGGGGCAATGGGTTTTGATCTACCTTTTCTGTCCACAGATGTTTTATCTAAGAACTGTGCTAATTTCCATGCTCTGCACTCTTGTGAGAAAGACATGGATTTGCATTATGAATTGTTTAAAAAAATTAAATTAAGCAAAGGAAGTTATAGAATCATAGAATCAGCATGTGCCAAGAGCATAATCAAGTTCTGAATTTCACTAGAATGGTTAAATGAGTTTAGACATCCTCCACTGTAACCTACGGCAATAAAAAATAACATTTGTTTGCTTTATGTCCTTTCCTTGTCTTACAGTAAGCACCAATTGCTTATGTATTATTGTTGTTGTTATTTGCAATCAAGTCAACTTTGCCTCCTCTCTAAATAAGAGATCTCCAAGAGTTCTGGTCATTGAATAGCTGACTCAGGTCTTGCGAACCGAGGACTGTGGCTTCCTTGGTTGAATTACAACCCACCTTTATTGCAGTCCAACTCATTTCCTACTGACTTCCATTTTACAATTCATATAATTAAATACTCAAAGTTCAACAGCCTCTGTTTTGTCATCTTAGCTTCTAATTAGAAATCAGGCCTGACTTGCTCTAAGGCTCATTCATTTGTCTTTTTAGTGGCCCATGATATCTGTAGTGCTGTCCTTCAACACTACATGAGTTGGTTTTTTTACTGACACTTTTCTTCACTGTCCACTTTTTACACCCATACATGGAAATACATGTATAAATTTTTATTACACTTAGGTATCTGCATTTTATCCAACTGAGATATGAAGTTTACAGTGGTTTTTAATCTTCCCATTAGTTGGCCACCTGGAAGAATGACAGACATTAGTTTAGCAAAGCTTCCAGAAATTATTTGGCTTAGCAGCATGGTCTTTTGCTGTAGTAATTGCTTCTTTCATACATATGCTCATGGAAGATATTGACGATAGTGGAGCTTCTGCAATATTTATCTGTCCTTAAACTAGGATATTTGATGTGCGACAGAAAAGGCAATCTTTCAGAGCTAATATGAAGTAATCACAAAATACAAAGTGTTGGTTTTGACCTTTAAGGCCCTACTTGGTTTGGGTCCAGGTTACCTACAGGATCACCTTCTCCCATATGATCTGTCTCGGACACTGAGGTCCTTGGGGAGGGGGCAGCTATTTCAATCAGCCAGAACCCAACTAGGGACTATCACTCAGAGAACCTTTTCATCGGCCGCCCCAAGACTGTGAAACAAGCTGCCGAAGGAGCTCCAATGGCTAAATGAGGTGTTGGAATTTAATACAGAATTGAAGATCTCTTCCAGCAGGCCTTCATAGTCTGTTTTAACTATGACTTTTAAATCACATTCTATGTTGGTTGGTGTTCAACTTTTGTCTCATGTGTTCTAATAACTTTATGTTTTAATATATGCTTTTATGCTTGCATTTTAACTATGTTATAATATATGATTTTATAGATGTATTTAAATATGTTGTGCTCTGCTCTAAGCTGAGAGAAGAGCCAAGTAATGAATAAAAATTATTGGTATTAGTAGCATTATTTTCCAACAGTGTGCAGTAGCAGCTCCTTCTGTGACTATATCTGCCTTTCCTTTTTTTTTAAAAAAAAGACCTAATCCTTGACATTACCTGTAGTTGACTGAATAGAAATGATAGCATTGCCTTACTGTTCCTTTATGTGGATTGTGTACCAAGTGTATGCTGATAGAAATTGAGGTTTACATGTATACTGCACTTCTGTGTCCCTATGGGGAAGGGCAGGGGCAAGCACTGATCATGTTGTGGCTAATAGGATTTTTTGAAAATACTGTTACCCATGACAAAATGGCATTTATTATGGCCACCATCTGCCAACAGGATATTTGTGTATTTGTCTTGCAAGCCATTCATTCTCATGAGTTCATACGCATTTGTGAAGAATTAAACAGAAGATAGATTTATTTTAATTCTCTGTAGTTTTTCTTCATTTTGGAACATGCAGTTTCTAGTGTTTGGCCGCAGAAGTTCATGTTTCTATTTGTTGTTTGGGTGTTCAAGCTGTTTTTGAGGCATTGTTTGTGGTTTTATTCTGATAGGGAGGATTTTTTCCTTGTTTTTTCAGGCTGAAGTATTGCCGTATGTGTCAAAAGAGCAGCTTAATGCACTCCTGAAAGAATGTGTACAAACCCCAAGAAGAGAAGACAGCCACCCCCGGGTAAAATCTCAGGATCTTTTTCTTGAGAGAGTGACTCCCAATTCTGACATGCTGGGAAACTCCATTCTGGACTCCAGAAATGAACTGTTAGATGATGTCCAAAGTGAGGAAATGGTAGAAGACCAAAAGGTGATTAGAGCTGAACATGAAGATATATGTCTGAATGATGTGATGGAAACTTCTGACTCTAACGGCAGCATAGCATTGATAGAATCTCACCTGGCAGAGACAAAAGAAAACAACCAAGAAAGCCAAGAGAAGTCAGTACATAATAGTAGCTTTGAAGGTTACTACATGGCAAAAGCACTGAGCCCAGACAAGCCGAAAAAACCCTCCTTTCTTGATGAACCTTTTTATTGTATCAGCATGAACAATGAACTATCCACAGATGTCGACATTCCTAGCATGCCACTGAAAATTGGAGGAGGTGAGGTTCTTAATAAACCTTAGGAATAAGCTTTTGATTATGGTTTTAAAAGCCCAAGCAGGTTCTCACCGAAGGTATGCACTAATGTATTATGATTATACTGATGGGGCAAAAGGCCCTTTCATAAAGCACAAAGATGATGCCAGAAATAACAAAATTTCAAAATGTTTCCTGGCATTCTTGAACTGACATAAATAGCTGTGAGATTAGTTCTCTTAGAAAATGTACTAAAATAATGATTGATTATGTCAGCCAGCAATAAAGTTGGACCTACACACATGAATTAGGTCTTTAATAATCAACAAGCACCATTCCTTTTGTTCTTTGTGTCAGTGAAATTGCACAAAAGGAACCAAAGGTCAACCGAATGGTTTTTTAATAGAAAAACTGTAAACCCCCCCCCCCCAAACCCCAAATGAAACTGGTAGCATTGCCACACACACACACACGATGGATGGATGAATGGATATATGTGTGTGTGTGTGTGTACAATTGGCTCCCATATTCATGGATTTTGCATCCAAAATGCCAAAATACATACAGGCTCCTAAACAGTTTACTACTTAATTTAACAACAAGACGAACAAAAAGAGATTTAAAACAGGCTATCAACAAGACAAACACTTGAAAGACAAAAACTCAGAGAGGTAAGATACAAGTCAACTACTTCCCAATTTATCATCATAGTTCTTTTAACTATCAGCTGAATCTAGAAAATGAACAAAGAGATGCAGAAGATAATGTAATAACTTCATTGATCTCATACGATCCTTTTCTGTAACATAGCAATGGAAAGTTAATGGTGAGATTGTATCCCCAGTTTCACAGTAGAACAAAGTCTCAATCCCTTCTTTCCATCACTGATTTTTTTTAAAAAAATGCGATCATGTGGAAGACATATTCTTGCATTTTTCCTGATTGTCCAGATGTCCATATCTCTAAATCAGTCTGAGTTTATATGGAGCTAAAATTAATGAATTTGTTTCAAGATTTGGTCAGATTGATTGTACAGCCCATATTTACATACACACACACACACACACACACACACACTCCTTTTGCTATGGTCCTACCACATGCCATTACCCACTTATTGGAAAATATCCTCCAAAACCTTAAGCGGGCTGTTAACATTTTTACCTCTTTACCCTGGACAGTGGCCAACAGTACCCATGGTGGGTTGACCATGTTGATAAAGTTTTGAGTCCTTTATCATTTATATTTTTCAATATAGTAAACCTATCAATAATTCAGGGTTGGTTTTATTTCTGTTCAGATGAAGAGATGGATGAAGATATGCATGAAGACATATATGCTTCCCAGCTTAACCAGCATTGGTAAAATCAGTATCTTCAGTTCTTGATTTGTGTAATTATGGTTATTTCATCATTCATGTTTGCACTGCAAGCATTTCTTTTTCCATAAAATATATTCTCAGAGAGTGAATTCTCTTTGTTGTGCTTTGTTGTTGCATTTGGTAATTTGAATAACTCATCTAAATAAAATCACTTTATAGTTAATTTCTAAAATCATCTGATTAATCTCTTTAATTGACTTACATGTAAAATAGACTTGGGACATAATAGATATGAAGATGCTCCTGGAACATCACTACACAGAGTAGAGCTGTGGCTTTATGTTAGTGAAAATAGCGTTCATTTTCTTTCTAATAAACTAAAATTGAAAATTATTTTTGCAAAATCACCTGAATAGGTCATATGCAAATCATGGTATGCTAAAATTGTGGGTGTTTTGTCCTTGAATCGTGCATTCCTGCTATTTGGAATGGTCAGGACATAATCATTTCTGTTTGTTTTGGGAAGGTGATTAATAAAAAGTTCTGAGGAATGTATTCTTCAGTAAACATAAGAACAATGCTATGGTTATGGTTTTTATTTATCTTATGTGAACCAAGTCATAGATCACATTTGCAGGATAAAAAAAGATTCCAGATTAAAATCTGATAGTAATATCTAGCAATATGATACCATTTATTTCATTTTTATTTTCACTCCTTGTTTGTTTATTAATTCTAGAACACTTAACATTATGACGTTATAATATTATACATTTTATATTTGTTTTCAGAGCTTATTTATTATTTCTAAAAAAACTTATAGTGGCATAGGTGCTGCCCTTTTATAGTACCACAATCCAACTCATGCATAAGGATAGTGTCAGCTCATCGTGCAAGATTATAGATAAGGATTCTTATTAAAATATATATTACAGTGCATAGTCTGTTATTCTTCCTGGGATATAGGATGTTGTTGAGGAAGAGGAGGGGGGTGCTTTGGTGGGGTCTTGTGCTCCTGAATTGGAGCCCATCACTTCTGCAGTTCCTCAGGGGGAAAGTAGTTCTTCCCTGGATGATGGGAATGGTTTTACAGACAGTCCTGCTTTTAGTGAGGATGGTTCCCATGAAATGCGGCCAAAGGCACTGCTTCCAGGGGCTCTGCTTCTAGAGGCTCTCCCTGACCCTGGGAAAGATGTGAAGGAGGTGGAAGACTCTGGATTGTTGCCCATAACTCAGTGTCTTCAGTTACCATGAGATAGTGCCAAGCAGTCAATTAAGGTTTTCTCAGCATTTGAAAAATAAACTGAAGGATTCTAGGTATTCGTTAGATAGTGTCTCCATTGGAACCAATTCGGTTTGTTAAGCTAACTCCTTGGATTGCTCTGTGTGAAAGCAACTTTGTATTTTCAGAAGAAAATCACCTTTTTCTTGCATTCTGTGAATGGAGATTCTGGCCTTGCTTTCATGTCATGTTTCCCTGTTTGGGATTGGGGAATCTCGTTTGGATACTGTTAGTTACGTCTAAGTTTTGTGGATTTTGGCTAATATTGTCAGTGTGGGACTTTGTTTATTGCTGCCTCAAAACTACTCTGACTGTAACCTAGATTTTGGAATGACATTTGAAGTTATACTTTGGATGTACTTTCGCTTTTCCCTTTTACGTATACCTTGGAAATACTTTTATACTCTTTATTTTGGAATGTATTTTTGAACTAGTTTTCCATAGAACACTCTTTTCTTTAATAAACTTTTAATTAGTTGATTGATTCCTGTTGGCTAATTAGCTATTTATCTTGGGTGAAAAGGAGTCACATAGGTGGCTGGGCTTCAACATAGGGGCAATGTGGAAGGGGCATGAGAGAGACAATAAGAGAAGAAAACAGTAACTAATGAATGGACTGTTTGTTCTAAATTATCCCTGTTAATCAGTGAATTCATTTACAGATGTTTGAGCATGAAATGAAATATCTGGTATCTGAATTTACCAGAAGAGGCATAGCACTATATGGGACTAGCAAGATGCAGGCACATTCCGCAATGCTGACATATGTGGCCTCATCACATTAGAGATTTTTAGCATCTTGGACGCTTGGAGGACACTGGGAGGATAGCGCCTGCCAGATGCCATCAGAAGATGCACAGCTACTTCTGTCGGAATTCTGTCCTTCCAGCATTATTTACTACATTTATATTCCACCCTTCTCACCCCAGCAAGGGGACTCAGAGCGGCTACCATGCTAGGACACTTCCTGGCACCATGCTAGGACACTTCCCAGAGAACACGGGAGGCTTACTGTGTTCTCATAGGAAAGAATGGGGCAAGCTTTGGGGGGAAGCTAGATGGTGATGCTTCCCCTCGTGGGATGGGTAAGGGGCGATGCAGGGCACAGGGTGATGTGGGGCACAGGGTGACGGGTTCCCATACCGTCTGGCGGATTTGCCATGCTGCATGGAGAATCCCCTCCCCACTATCATCTGCAAATTGGACCACAACATGATGAGGTTCATAGTGTGCTGTGGAAATCATATAAGCTTGCTGTGTATCAAATAAGTGCAAAATTCATTTCTGGCAGTTATTTGTGACCCTTGTGGCTTGCTTGGAACTTTTCAACTTGAGTTGTAAGATTTTTAAATCAGTAAAATCTTTAAATTTAATTTTAAACACGTGTTTCAAATTCTTTGGGTGGCCTCAACCTCTCGGCTTTACAACCTAGACTGGTTTAAAGCAACACAAAGACCAGAAGCCAGGTGTATTAGCCGATGAAACAGGTATTAACCTCAAATGGAAATGCAACAGGTTGGAACCTGTGGGTACAGGATGTCCTAAGAGCAGGGAGAAGTTTTGGCAGATCAACAGAAGGGCACATGGCAGTCTGGCCAAGGAAAAGAGAGAGAGAAAAGCAGACACACATTTGTCTTGTTTTAATCAGAGAAACAGAAGCTTGGCAGCAGTCATCCAACCAGTGGAATGTGCCGAAGAAGCTGCTGTGTAGTGCCGTTGCCTGTGTAAACATCAACATCTGACAATTCAAAAGTGGCCAACTACTGTTGGGTCAGATGATGGAATGTATAGATTCTGTCCCAACTTGTGTAGCAAGGTTACAGTTCAGTTGTATTAGTAATCTCTTACCATGTAGTTTACAATTTGGAGGTGTTTTTCAGGGTACATCTACACTGTAGAATTAATATAGTTTGACACTGCTTTAACTGCCATGGCTCAATGCTGTGGAATCCTAGGATCTGTATTTTAATGAAGCACCAACACTGGCAGAGAAGGCTAAAGACATGTAAAACTGGAACTACCATGATTCCATAGCATTGAGCCATGGCAGTTAATGTGTCAAACTGCACTAATTCTACAGTGTAGATGCACCCTCCATATCATAAACATGGAGACAGGTCCTAAAATGATATTTGCTCATTAATTCGATGGCATTCAGTTGTTGAATGCATTATTATTCCTGTCTGGTAAAACAGCAATTGATCTCTTTGTTGCCGTCCATCCTTTCTACCTTCCTATGATCTGTTATACTTGTTTTAGCTACAAGAAGACCACATGCAGCATTGTACTTTATCCTAAAATGATATGTAAGAATGCTGATTAAGAACAAGTAAATATTTTGCGTAGTCTGGCTTGGGACATTCATTTGCCTTAACATTTCACCTGGTTAGGCAAGATAAAATAGTGTGATTGACACTGTCTCTATACAGAATATTATTCATAAATGCCAGATGCTGTACCCTTAGTCACAAAGGTCTTTCACAGTGCAACAAGTCCTCTATGACCAGATCACCACCCTAGCTTCCTTTTTTCCTTAGTTCCCTATTTCCTCAGTGTTAGGTCAGAACTGAGTTGCTGAAGTAAGCTACTTAGTACATCAAATATATATGGCTTGTTGCATGATCTTTGACCCCTTCTTCTGACCATACCTGTTAAATGAGAAGCCCTCAAAGCCCCCCCCCCCCCGCTTTGAGAGGTTATATTCCTTAGAGGGTGTGTGTATATCTAACAGTGCCTTGCCTACTGAGGGACTAATATCCAGTTTCTAATTACTAATGACTTAGATGAAGGGTTAGAAGGCATAATCATCAAGTTTGCAGATGACACCAAAATGGGAGGGATAGCTAATACTCCAGAAGACAGGAGCAGAATTCAAAATGATCTGAACTGAATAGAGAGATGGGCCAAAATGAAGTTCAACAGTGACAAATGCAAGATACTACACTTAGACAGAAAAAATGAAATGCAGAGATACAGAATGGGGGACAGTGCCTTGCTCGACAGCAGTACATGTGAAAAAGATCTTGGAGTCTTTGTGGACAACAACTTAAACAGCCAACAATGTCATGCGGCGACAAAAAAAGCCAATGGGACTTTGGTCCGCATAAATAGAAGTCTAATGTCTAGATCCAGGGCAGTCATGCTACCCCTCTATTCTGCCTTGGTCAGATCACACCTGGAATCACACTGTGCCCTATGAGAAACGGCTTAAAGAGCCGCATGTTTAGCTTGCAGAAGAAAGGCTGAGAGAAGACATGGCCATGTATAAATATGTGAGGGAAAGTCATAGGAAGGAGGGAGCAGGCTTGTTTTCTGCTGCCCTGGAGACAAGGGTGCGGAACAATGGCTTCAAACTACAAGAAAGGAGATTCCATTTGAACATTAGGGAGAACTTCCTAACTGTGAGAGCTGTTCAGCAATGGAACTCTCTGCCCTGGAATGTGGTACGTGGCTCCTTCTTTGGAGGCTTTTAAACTGAGACTGGATGGCCATCTCTCAGGGGTGCTTTGAATGCAATTTTCCTGCTTCTTGACAGGAGGTTGGATTGGATGGCCCACGAAGACTCTTCCAATTCTATGATTCTATGATTCTATAAAGGCAATACTGTATTGGCATTCCCTTGAGCCCAATGATGGTAAATGGTGGCAGTAGCAGAAAAGAGAATTGCTTTCCCTTTCCTCATGCATCTTCCAGGAATGTACTTCTATTTGTTAACCAGATATGTTGGAAATTGATTATTTTTCACTGTCACTGCTCGTGCACTACTCGTGCAACAAATTAACCAGTAGAAGTACTAGCAGATGTGTGTGTGTGAGTGTGCAATATTTTTTGTTGTGTCAGGAGTGACTTGAGAAACTGCAAGTCGCTTCTGGTGTAAGAGAATTGGCCGTCTGCAAGGACATTGCCCAGGGGATGCCTGAATGATTCGATGTTTTTATCATCCTTGTGGGAGGCTTCTTTCATGTCCCCGCATGAGGAGCTGGAGTTGATAGAGGGAGCTCATCCATCTCTCCCTGGATTCGAACCTTGGATTTAACCCACTGCTCCACCGGGGGCAAAATGAATGCAAAATGTAGATCCAGTTCAAAGTGTAGATCCAGTCTGAGTGACTTTCCCAGGATTGCTCACTGAGGTCCCTTCTACAATGCCATATAATCTAGATTATCAAAGCAGATAATCCATATATGAGTTTACATTACCATATCATCCATTACAAAGAAGATAATATGGATTTTATATGACAGTGTAGAAGGGCCCTGAGTTTTCATGTCTGAGTGGGGATTGAAATCCTGTTCT